GGAGAGGTGTGAGGTTCGAACTCCAGCAACCTGAGGCTGACAGCTTTGTGGAAGCAGCCACTTAAAGGCCTGAGCTAGGGCCAGGCCCCCTGTACATTCTGTTCTTGTTGCTTCTCCTAATTCTTTTTAGTGGTTACTTTTAATCTCTTTTATTATTTTCATATATATATATGTTGCATTGCTGGGATTCAAACTCAGAGCCTCAACATTTCAAATGCTCTGCTTCTGAGCTTCATCCTCAGCCCTCACTATTAATTTCCTGAGAGATTGCTCTTACTCAAAATGTTTTTTATTCTTGAACATGACAAATAGGAATGTCTTAACCACTTCTAAATAATCTGTTTCAAATTGTTTCTCCCAATGTTTAAATTCACTGTCTTGTGTTTGTTATACCATTTTGGTTTTTAGATGCACAAAGAAAATTTTTTTCCTTACAAGTATAGTTGATTAAATATAATGACAGGTGTTACCCATTTCTGCACCTAGTTTATTTATTTTTGTATCTAGGACAGGGTGTACAGGGGTGTACAGGGTCTCACTGTGTAGATCAGACTCGTAGTGATCCTGTTTACAGCCATGAGTTCGAGACCAACCTAGGCTACATAGTGAGACACTATCTCAAAAAGAAGAAAAAATAAAACCAAAATCAAATTTAAAAGAAAGGGTTGGGGATATAGCTCAGTGGTAGAATACTTCTGGATTTGATCCCTGGGACTGGGGGGAAAAAAGTCAAAAGACAGTAAATTGTGTGTGTGTGTGTGTGTGTGTGTGTGTGTGTGTGTAAACACATGTTTATTGCAGAACTTTAATTAAATGCCTTAACCTCCAAAACAAACTACCCCAAAGCTGACAATGAACTGGTAGTCCACAAATGCTTCAGGTTAGAGGTTAAGTTTGTCCTTGATGAATTAACTTATAATGAATTCTCCTGACAATTGAGTCCAAAGTGAATGCATGAATTGGATTGACATGATTAATAATTTAAAGCAAAATATTACACAAGGGCAACTGGAACCCTGGCATTTAGGAGCCAGCTACAGGTCAGTGACTGGAAAACTACATTTTAAAAAATCTGAGGTCAAAAACTCTTCAGCGAGGTCACGGACGCGCCCACCCCGCGGCCGGGTTGAAGCCAGCCGCGAGACGCGCAGCGACCCGCCCGAAGAAATGAGTGGTGGCCTGGCTCCAAGTAAGAGCACAGTGTACGTGCCCAACTTGCCCTTCTCCCTGACAAACAACGACTTATACCGGATATTTTCCAAGTATGGCAAAGTTGTGAAGGTTACTATAATGAAAGACAAAGACACGAGGAAGAGTAAA